ACCGGCATTATTTTGAGCCCGACTGAAGCATTCCAGAAATGAGGTAACGGTGAGAGGAAGGAGCCTATTTTGACTCTGCAGGTGCCAGCTCCCAGAAAGGGAGATAATCCCTTCCTCCTCCTTAGGCAGGAACTGCAGGGCATAAAGTGAAAGAAAACCCAACTAACGCCTGCAAGGCAATTGGCTCTGCCTGTCTGGAAAGCAGAGGCTTCTCAGTGGGTAAGTGATGAGAGCCCTTATATTTTGATTTCAGTTGGTCCTCAAGGAGAACTGAAGTTTTTAATAGATATGGGAGCACAGATTTCACTTCTAACACAACAAGATGCCAAGAAGCTGGGCGGGCAACCCAGATAGCAGAGAGTTAAGATTGCCGCTGTGAGCAGAATGAATGTTGTGTGTCAAACTGCCAAGGTCACTTCATGGCTCCTGGGTGAGAAGCGCATGTTGACCATTTGCTTTGCAATTAAACATCATGATGAAAATATTTTAGGTGTTGATGTTTTAAACGGAGGAGCCTGGTGCCTGCCGAATGGCAGCGTGTGGTCCTTCTGTGCAAACACTGATCCCAACCCCAGCAAAAATCAGGAGGCTACAGTGTGTGCACTTTGCACAGCCCCTGCACTCCCTGATACAAAAATTACTAACGTGCTTCAACATCCCATTTCTGCTGTGACACGAAATGGAATTTCTGAAGTCATACCTGATTTGAAGAAATGACAAATTATCTCCAGAACCCCCTCCTCATATAACTCACCTGTCTGGCCAGTTCAGAAAGCAGATGGGAGGTGGTGTTTAACAACTGGTTACGGGCGCCTGAATGCGCTAGTTGTAAAATATACGTTCTTTATGGTTCCCTTAAAGGAGGAGGATAAAAAGAAGTTTGCTTTCAGCTGGGAGGGAATACAACATACCTTTAACAGAACCCCACAGGGGCATAAACATTCACCTACAATTGTTCGTGCCACACTTGCTGAACTTTTACAGACAGTCTCGCTCCCTCAAGAAACTGTGCCAATCTGTAGATGATATTCTGATTGGAGGAACTTCCCTGGAGAAGGCAGGGGAAGGAGCAGCAGTATGGCAAGCACCACATAAAGCAAAAACTGAAATTCCACCCAGAAAATGTCAGACCAAGTAAAGAAGTAAAATTGTTAGGTATCTGGTAGATAGCAGGCAGTGCAGTGATTCCTTAAGACACCTTATGATCATTAGTAGTAACAGAAGAGCTGCAAATGCCCCAAACAAGTTACAATAATTAATGGGAACTTTAGGATATTGGATGAAGCATGTACCTGGATTTTCTATCATTTCCCATCCATTATACTTACTCTTATGGAAAGGCAAACCCTGGGTGTAGAAGCTAGAAAATAAAAAGGTGGTCAAAACTCTAACTGAAAAATTAAAAACATATCAGTCACTGGGACCAGTACACCCCATAAACCTGTATTATAGTCAAATGGGGTCTTGCCAAACATGATACTTATTGTAACCTGTTCCAAACTGGCCTTCATGGGCTAAAAAGACCTTTACTGTTTAGCTCAACTGCACGTAAAGAAGCAGAACAATGATAACTCTGAATGGGAAAAGGGACTTTTATCTTTAGTCCAAGCTGTTAAACATTACTTACCAATATTTTTTGTCATAGTCTGATCTTCTCTCTCCACTTTTCATAGGCTTAGAAAGCCCAGCTAAGCAAAGAAATCAAGGCCTGGAGTGTTGTTCATTATTCTGTCCAAACCAACCTCCACACCCAGTAGCTGCTTTCCTCCCCACCTTTCCGCAAGACCTCCTCCTCTTTCCTTCCAATGCCTTATGAATCACAGCAGCATGAATTTCAGGAAAGGGAAAAGTTCAAGTGCTCTCTGGAAGCTTAACATATTTGGAGTCCGAGAAACAGCCAGTGCTATGCTGTCCACGGTTTCCTGTAAGCCTGTGAACACTTTTCAGTTTCATCTTTGCAGCCAACAACCAGCTCCCTTCCTGTGGTTGAACACAAACAGACACCAGAGTGGCCAGCTGCTGATCAGTGTCCTCAGAGAGACCATGCACCCTCCTCTGAAGCAGTCTTCACGACTCCTACAGAGGTCAGCCCTGCTGAAATATGCCCTGAGCCTCCAAACAGCCTGCTCAGAGTCCTCTCAGCAGAGGAATTACAGCATAGAGCCTGCAGGTCCCTTGGGCAAATACCTTTTCCTTAGAAGTGGCCGACTCCTTCTCT